AACAACCCCCTCCCCCCCAAAAAAACGAAAATTAAATAAACTGAGCTATGTAATGCACCTAACAGAGTCCCTGGCACATATTCAGGACTCAATAAAAGTTAGTTACTATGTGTTTTAGCTAAATACATGGGTAAGACAGGTCTTGGATACCCTGTTTCTACTGCTTCATGATGTAATATATACATTATAATTAAATTTTGTAAAGCACTTTTAAAGTAGTTTATTTGTTCGTTAAACAGATATTTATTGAAATGCCAAGTACAGAGTAGTGAACTAATACTTATTTACAAAGCAGCTAGAAGTAAATTCCTAGCATATGGGCCCAGATTCCAGCCTACACATTCCTTTGTTTTTATGGAAAAGATTTATTTAATTAGGCATGGTGTAGAACTTTCTGATTGCCTAATGTTCTCACAAAATGATTCACTATAAAAAAATGAGTAGCCTCATGTCTTGACCAGACCCCCTGCTGTCCCAGTAAGGAGCCGGTCAGGGAGGACCTGGGTACTTGCTTGAAAGACCTAGAAATACTCAGCGCCTGCCATTCTGAACACTGATGCGGCAAGAGGCCAGCTCGGTCAAGCGCGCGTCTACCTGAGGTGCCGTTCTGTGTTTTAGTGCAGCAGTGGGGGCTCGGGGAGGTTGAGTGACCTGCGTAAAAGCCACAGTGCTAAGGGTGGGCAGCATCCAATTTGAATTCGGGTCTGGTCAGTTCAAGGCTCCAATTCTGCTGCAGCCCTGGGTTCCCATCTTCACATTAATATGTGTCCTCTTATTCCATGGAGAAAGGAGAGTAGCAATTCAGGCAGATGGAGCCAAGGAGGCTCCAACGAAGAGCTTTGGGAGAAAGAGCTCTGTCTACCAGCCCGAGGCCTGGCCTCCGGTCCCAGATTTGCTACCAACTAGCCCTGTGACCGGGGGGAGGGAGAGGATCCCCTAAATTCCCAGCTCCTCTGAGCTTCTCAGCAGCCTCTCAGCCCTAAACCTGAAACCATCGCAGAGGTGTCAGTAGGACCCCTGGGCTTCCTGGAGTCAAATCCAGCTCTTTAGCCTCTGACAAATGCTCTTCCGTGTGGTTCTATCGCAGCGGAAGGTATGAGACCCAGAAGGGTTACATTTCAGAGAGCTGAGGGGTGATATCATATTGTCCCTTCAGATTAAAGCGCTTCTCTGAGAAGGTCTAGGATCTGAAGCCACGTGCCCACCCATTCACAGGCCAGGTAGGAATGAAGCTTTGTTAAAATCCTAGAGAAATGGACCAAGTTGGGGGGAGTATGTGGGGACAGGAAGGGGCCACGCCTTGATTTCAAGTGTCCACGGCACTCGTGGCTTCCTCCCCGCGTTCTGCATCATCCGAGAAGCGCGTCGTCAGGGAAAGGGCGCTGTTGGTCCCTCCTTGAGGTTGATACAGTAAAACACACGGATTTACAGTTTTAAACTATTATTTTTTACCCTTTTATTTTAAAGTAATTTCAGGCTCACCAAACAATTGTAAAACAGAACAGGAATTCCCACATGCTATTCATTTGTATTCCCCAAACGTCAGCATTTACCCACCTTCCCTACACACACACACACACCTGAAAGTTTGAGGGCCAGACGGCCCCTTAACCTCTAACGACCTTGGTGTGTCCAACCTAAATGCAGAGCTTTTCTCTTTTATACCCACAGTATAATTTTCAAAACCATACAGTGAACATTGATACAACGCTATTGTATAATCTGTAGGCTTTATTCAAATTTCACAAGTTGTTTAAATAGTGTCCTCGGCACCAAACACAGCATTGAGTTGGCAGGTGTCCTTAGTCCCCTCTCACCCGGGACCATCCCATAGCCATGGTGACCTCTGCGACCTTGACCTTTTCTGAGAGAACAGGCTGGTCATTTGTAGACTGTCCCACAATTTTGTTTTATCTGACGTTTCCTCGTGATCAGACGCAGGTTGGGCATTTTGGCAGGAACGCCTCTCTCACGGCTTCCTGTCGGCGTGTTGCGGTCACTTTGTCACTGACGATGTCCCTTCGCCCCTTGGCCAGGTGCTGTCTTGCAGGCGTCCCACTTTGAAGGAATTCTTTACCCCTTTGTAATCAGAAAGTATCTCGTGAGGGGACCCTCTGGAACGATTCAGGTATCCTGTGTCTCCGCACAGTTTTGCTCACTAAAAATCAATAAAAACATATTTTAAAAAACTAAAAACAAAAACAAAAAAATCTCCCCAACAGTTTTTGGCGACTCTGGGACCAGAGGGCTTGTTCCATGCGAATTCTCAGGACCAAAAGCCTAGTTCTAGATCCACGCACCGTCCCTGAGCAGTCCATCGAGCTCTGTTACTTACACAGTATNCGTTACTTACACAGTATTCCCGGATACGCTCCCTAAGTTACAGAGCAGTTTCTCCCGGGCAGTTTCCATGTGGACACTCACGTCCTCGGCAAATCTCCCAGGAAGCTCAGATATGATAGGAGACGGGGGGGCAGAAGAGGTGACCCACAGGAATTAGGGGCTAGATGTTTTGTCTTCGGCCTCCCCTCTGTGGTCCGTTTGGGAACTTTCGGGCACTGCTGCTGGAGGGAAGACAGCCCACATGGGGACGGCCTTAGTTGTCGCAAAACCGATGTGCGTTTCTGTCTCAGGTCATTTTTGTAACCGACTCGCCAGAGTTTGACAAACGTCAGCGCCTGTCAGCGTTCCTGATTTGCTTGGTCAGGTGCGGTGATTGGAGCAGGGGTAGAGCGGCCGGAGGGGACGCAGCGCCCCAGCTCCCGCAGCGCCCCTCAGGCCGGCCCCTCTCCTCCCGCCCGGCAGGTCGGCGAGCGGCGGATCCTGTACCAGCACGCGGGCCGGGAGGCCGGCTGGACGGCGGAGGACTCCTTCACCTTCACGGCGTCCTGCCCCCCCGCCGCCCTGGGCCCCCAGGACTTTCGTGTCACTATTTCCTATGACGCAGATGAGCCCGGCCGGCCAAGTCGTCTGCTCGCAAACGCAGGTGAGGCCGCCCAGCTGAGGTCAGCGCCTTCTCTCATCATTAAGGTAGGGGCGGTGTGGGGAGAAATACTCCCCGTTTTAACTGTCAGCGCCCTGAGCTCGGCCTTTGACATAAAACTTACACGTTTATGAAACTGTCCTGTCTCGGCGTGAAGAGGCTCTGTCTCTGGGCCTCTTCGCACGCCTTTAATCCTCGTAGTGGGGAGGGTGGCACATCAACTTCAAAGAAGTTTATCTGTGCCCTGGCGGGTTAGGTTCAGTGGTTAGAGCGTCGCCCTTTGGACTGAAGGGTCCCGGGTTCGATTCCAGCCAGGGGCACTTACCTTGGTTGCAGGCTCAGCCCCTGGTTGGGGTGTGCGGGAGGCAACCAATGGATGTGTCTCTCTCGCGTCGATGTTTCTCTCTCCCTCTCCCTTCCACTCTCTCTGAAAAATATCCTCTGGCGAGGATTTAAAAAAAAAAAAAAAAGAATTTTATTTGTGCTTCTAAACAGGGAGGTCACCACACCCGGGACTGAAAACTATTGATAGAAAATGGAAATGGCAAAAAAGCTAAGTTCTTGAAAGGAAAAGGGTGTTGAAAGCTGCCCCGTTTCCATGGCAAGAGACTGCCTGGCAGTAAGTTAGGAAACGAACGTTTTATAATGAATCTTGGGGATTTTAAACTCCCTGCCTGAAACGTTGACGGAAGGGTGAGGGTGTGTCTATTTTAAGTTTTTCACAGGCCTTGGGTAGCGATGCTAATCAGCTTCTTTTTTTGTTATTGTGAATCTTCCCCTGAGGATATTTTTTCCATTGGTTATTTTATTTTTTAGAGAGAGTGGAAGGGAGAGAGAGGGGGAGGGAGAGAGAGAGAAACATCAATGTGAGAGACACACATCGATTGGTTGCTTCCCGCATGAGACCCTGCAGAGGGCCATGGATAGAACCTGCAACCCAGGTATGGGCCCTTGACTGGGAATTGAACCTGTGGCCCTTTGGCGTGCGGACCGATGCTCTAACCACTGGGCCACAGGGGCCAGGGCTCCTCCGGGTTCTTGACCAGCGAAGGTGTTTCAGCAATCCGCTGGGACAAGCCAGTCGGAGAGAGGAGCAGCTCTGCCACTGTCATCCCCAAGTTCTGATGAAAGGCTTCTCTGTTCTTGACTTTCCCCCTTTCGCAGGAGCTGCCGCCCCGGAGGGAGGCCGGGTTCTCATTGACCAGTCAAAGTTGGACGCTTCCAACCTCCTGCTCAAATTGCCCGAATCTCAGCGCTCTTCCTATGAAATCTGGTTCCAGGTCACATCTCTTCCTTGCCACGGAACCATTATGGTGGGAGAGAGAAATGTGACAGAAGGAACACCCAGTTTTTCCCAGTATGTCATTAATAAGTTTGGGATCACCTACCTTCACGATGACTCGGAGTCCCTGGCTGATCATTTCAGCTTTGCCGTGTGGCCAAACCCAAAGAGCGAGTCGGCCACCAAGCCGGAGGCCGGCTTCCTGGAAGAGACGTTCAACATCACCATCTCGCCTGTGGATGACCAGGCCCCGGAGCTGAAGACAGAAGGGCTTCGGTTGAAGGTTCTGCAGGGCGACAGGCTGGTGGTGGGGCCTGAAAGCCTGAGGGTGGGAGATGGGGACAGTCCTCCGGAGGAGATCAGATATACGCTCCTCCGCGGCCCCGACAATGGTTTCCTGTCGCTGGCTCACAGCCCAGACACCCCTGTCCACCACTTCACACAGGCCGACATTGATGACGCTCGGCTGTGGTTCACGCACGACGGGAGCCTGTCCCCTGGAGCGTTTTACTTCAGCGTGACCGACGGCCACCACCGGCCACTCCANGCAGGCCGACATTGATGATGCTCGGCTGTGGTTCACGCACGACGGGAGCCTGTCCCCCGGAGCGTTTTACTTCAGCGTGACCGACGGCCACCACCGGCCACTCCACAAGCTCTTCCACCTGGATGTCACTCCCGTCGCCATCGCCCTTGGGAACCTCACAGACCTGCTTCTCCCGCAAGGCCAGACGACCGTCCCCATCACCAATGCTCACCTGTCAGCAAAGACCAATGGGAGGAGCCCCCAGATCACTTACCAGATAACACGGCCCCCCGACATGGGCATCTGCTCATGGGAAACCAGGCGGCCTTCAGCTTCGGACAGGAGGATCTGGACGCCGGAAGACTCTCCTACCACATGACCGACGTCGCTGCCTCTGAGGACCAGCTCCAGCTCTCCCTGTTTACGTCGGAAAGCAACCTGACGGGACGAGCGCTGAGCACCCGCATGCAGCCCCTGCTGCGGGCTCCGTCCAACCTGACCGTGGTCGACGGAGTCCCTTACCCGCTGAGACGGGAGGACCTCGATGCCACTGAGCTCGCTAACAGGACTAACAGTAATCCCAGATTTGAAGTGACCGACCCCCCCACCCACGGAAGACTTGTTCAAAGAGTGGGCCGTGGCCCTGCGGTGGAGGACACCACCCTCTTCACCCAGAGGGACGTTGACCACGGGCTGGTGCTGCTCCATCCGCACGCCAGCCTCGTGGGCGCCGGGGTGCTCAGGGACTCCTTCACCATCCTGCCCAGGGCGGACCGCGTGCAGCCAGCAGTCGGCTACCTTCCCTTCACCATAGTGCCACCTGACGCCTTGCTTTGGCAAACGCTCCGCCCCGACGTTTCTCTGTTAGTCACCGNCTTTGGCAAACGCTCTGCCCCGACGTTTCTCTGTTAGTCACCGCAGATGACCTTGTGACGTCAGCTCTGCCTCAGGAAAAGCCTGTGGTTTCCTCAGGACCCATGACGCAGACAAAGAGTCTGGGGAAACTGACCCAGACTAGACGGCAGACAGCAGGCCCCTGGGGACGCCACAGCGGTGAAGGCCCAGCTGTGGATGGCAAGGCCTCTCCCGCCAGGGTCCTTTGGCCACCTGCTGCCACCAAAGCCAGCCCTGGGGCACCCACCCAGCCCAGGGAGAGCAGTTACCCTCTGATGGTCATCGTACCCTTGGCTGCCGTGATCTTCCTGCTGACAGTAACCTTGGTGGCCTTGTGTGTCTGGCTGCTGGGCCAAAAGGTAGAAAAGGCAAAACCTCTTATCGAGCCCCAGGCCAGTCCAGAACCTCTAACCCCAAGTCCCAGGCCAGAAAGGAGCACAACCGTGCCCACTGTCACAGTGACGCCTCTCCTACAGAGCTCCCGCAGTCCCCCAGGCAGTCTTTTCAGGGCCCTGCCACCCGAGGAGGTGGCCTCCCCGGTCACTGAGGCAGTGGGAAGATGTGCCTCTTGGGACACGTGGGGGAATCTGGATCCGGACACGGTCCAGCTCTGCCGACAAACCAACCCGACACTGAAGCACAACCAGTACTGGGTGTAGACGGAGGCTCGTTCCTTCCTGACCACCTGCTGTGAGCCAGACACTGGGATGGGACTGAGCCCCCCAGGCAAAGAGAGTGTTTGATGAGACGAAAAAAGCCCGGGCCTGCCGGGCGCGCTGTGCTCAGCTGCGGCCCGTGGTTAGGTGCTGACGGCCTGCGTTGTAACTTTGCTATGACACTCGTCTTACAGGCTCCCTGAGTGTGCGGAAGAGGCGGTCAGTATTCAAACCCTCCGCCAAGGTGCTGCAGAACCCGCTGGCCCCCTGGCCACAGCAGTGTCCCCGTGGGAGCTGGCGTCGGGGAGAAGGCCTTACATTTTCCCCTGAGGATTCTCTGTGTGAGTCAGCGGCTGTTTCAGCCAGAAGCGGTTATTTATCATCAGAGAGTCTGTTTCTAGTGTTTTTCTATTATGTCCTTTCCTCGTGGAGTCTCTAGCTTGACTTCCAAACACAGGAAATGCCCGGTGCTCCAGATGCTGGGAGGTATTCCCTGAACACACGTGCTTCATCAAGACGCTTCGTTTGTTCCGATGTGGACAATCAGGACTATTATTTGAAGCCCTAAAGAATAAAAAAGCTTGTTAAAAAGCTTTTGTGATGCCTCAATTTGGGTTTACTTTACAATAAATGGGAATAATGGCAGATTGGTATTTGACAGGCCTCTTGGAGCCAGCCGCTGGCATGCTCAGGTTTCTGTGCCTGTGACGGAGATGTCAGCGCTGATCAGTTAGCAACACTTTGGGTTGCAAACCACAGGACATCTGCTGTGGGCAGTCGAAGTTGGGGGTTGGCAAACTCTGTGCAGGGCTACCGAGTAAACATTTTAGGCTTTGTGGGCCATCTCCAGTTGTTTGTTTTTATTTTTTAACAACCTTTTAAAAATGNCCCAGTTGTTTGTTTTTGTTTTTTAACAACCTTTTAAAAATGTACAAACAATTCTTCATTCCTGGATTTGACCCACAGACCCTGGGTCGCCAACCTTGGTTTCACAATAAAAGGTTGAATTATTTCAACCAACACACAGCCTGAGGTGGGCCTTCCGAGGCTGGCTCACCCGTGCAGAGGTGTCATCAGGCACTGAAGCTCTTTGGTTGCCCCTGCTCGACCTGTTGGCCCTTCATTCTCTTGTGCAGGTCCCTGGGATTATAAGGCGGCTGCTGAGGCTCCAAGGATACGGTCACAGTTCAAGGCAGGATATTAGCGGGGGAAAGAGAGAAATGGCCAAAAAACTTTTTCTTAGAAAAGATTTATTATTATTATTTTTAATCTTATAAGGGGAGTCTCTTCCCAAACATTTTCTCTCTTGTGTCTCATTGTCTAGAACCAGCAACATGCTTCCCATCCCTTGGCCAACCACTGGCAAAGGGAAAGGGAAATCTCATGACTGACCACCTCCCCTGGGGCTGGGAGAGGACCCTGCCGTGTCACACACCAGTGGACAGCCCCTCATGTCATCAGGGGAAGATAGGGGGTGGCACTTAGGTGGGCCATCAATAGGATCTCTTAAAAACACTCTTTACTCTTCAAGTATTGAAATACTTGGGAAACAAAGATTTTGGTCTTTTGAATCGGTGTCTACTTTAACATCTCCTTTTAGTATTTTAATGATTTTCTTAAGGCCAGCAGCCACTGTTGGGGGCGGGGCATTTGTCAGGGTCTGGAGATGTTTTTGGTTTTCACAGCTGGTGCTGCTGGTCCCCAGTGAATCCAGGCCAAGGATGCTGCCAAATATCTGACAATACACAGGACACAGCAAAGGGTTTACCTGGCCCCAAATGTCAGCAGTGCCAAGGTTGAGAACCCCTGGTCTGAGCCCTAGTGAAGAGCTTTCTTGCGTAGCCCACAAAGGATTGATAAACCCATCACCGAGTCTGGCCAAAAACGGAGCTCGAACAGCAGATGGAAGAGTGAAAATCCCAGTGTGTTTGCAACTCTGATGGGTGATGGACAGCGTGGACGTTTTTAAAAGACGACGCATTATAACCGAACCACACTTGAGGGCAGACTCACTCCTTCATACTCCTGGTCTAATGAGAAGATTGTTGCCTTGTGTTAACAGGTGGAACCCATCAGGAGAGAAAAAAAACAGGATATTTACAGAGGTAACAATGAGGTCAGTGTCCCCCAAAGTCTGAGGCTCTGAAGGGTTCCATATGGAAAAGGCTGTTCCCCACCCTCTCCCTTTTCTGTGCCTCTAGGTTGCTTTTCTCTCCCAACTCCAGTTGAACTGCTCCTTGTGAAAACAGGTTCACAGCCTGCAGAGTAAATGGAAGCACGGCGTGCCTGGGCCTGGAGACGGCCACCGCGGCCTCGATCCTTGGACTGAATGCCAAGGGCTGCTGTTGCCGCCCCGGCCACGGGCCGCCATGTGGGAGAAAACGTACCCCCTCCTTCCAGAAGCGATTCTCTCCTGCGCGTCTGGATTCCTGAGTTCTACGGAGCCCCTTTCGAGTGCTTCTGAACTTGATCCCTTGAGAAAGGAGGAGGAATGAGAGTCGGGAGCCAAGGTTGGCTCGATCACCCGGCGACTCAGGATTGTTCTTGGGTCTGTTCTGAGCAGCTGGTAACGAAGAAACAGAACGGCCTTGTGTGCTCGAGCCGACGCCCGAAGGAGACGGCTGAGGAGCATCTTTGCATCCAGGCCTTGGGTCTTGCCCCCGCTCGATGGGACCAGGAGAACGCCAGTCTTCGTGGAAACGCCAGACATATTTGGCTCTGTGACCTGTTGGCCTGTTTCTTGCTTCAGCCATAAGATTTCTGGAGCTGGGATCACCAGCCTGGCCAAACCATAAAGCCTGGCTCCCTTCCCCTTTTTCCTGTTAACTCTGCAACTCCCGAAAAAAATAACTGGTGTCCGTGCTGTAACGGGACCTGTGCTGAGCTTCACCACGATCACTCGCGTGTTTGTGTGCCTGCCGGAGCGGAACATCCGTGTGCACTCCAGACGTCCCCTCTCCGAGACTGATCCAGTGGTCACCGTGGGGCTTGCGGAGTTTTCTTCCAGAGGCTCTGGAATCCTCTACCATTTGCAGATGGGTTCAATTTAAAGGAAACAGTGCCCACCATTTGGTGCTGGCTCAAAGAAAACATGAACTGAAACGTGTTGGCAGACCCTTGCTGGTGTTGACGATGGAAATTCTGGAAAATGAAAAATCAGTCTGAGAAGGTTTCTCCCATATGCAGCTCCTCAGTGTCAGGGCTCCTCGGGAGATGGGGTTGGGAGTCCCCGGAACATGGAGTGTGTGTGTGTGTGTATGTATGTGTACATGTGTGCATGTGTGTGTGTGTGTGTGTGTGTGTGTGAGGGAGGGAGGGAGGAACGGGGTGGAGGGTAACTTGCTGTTTCAGAGCAGGACAAGGCCAGCCTCGTGGACATGAGCAGCCCGTGACCCACACAGGGCCACCCTCACAGGGACCCTGGGCTCAGTCCTCTGTGGTTTTTGACCGTGACTCCACATTTTCATGTTCGCTGGACCGTGCAAGCTCTACAGCTGACTGAGGATTCGAATGTCACCGGTAGGTGCCTCAGACCCTCTTAAGCATTGTTTCAGATCCTCTTAGCCCAGCTGTGGCTGAGGCACACTGTCACTCTCTGAGTCACTCGCCCCTAGGGCCCCCACCCTGCAGGACACTCACGGCCACAGCCCGGGTCTGCTGAGACGCAGGCTCTGCCACTGTGGGCACCAGGAGGCCCGTGCTGGTGGGAGTCCCCGGCCAGGGCTCTGCGTTGGCATCATGCCCAGGAGCCAGGCTTCCACCAAACCACCTTCTAGCTGACAACCTCCTCACTCCACATGGCAGTTTCTTGGGCCCAGAGACAATAACTCGTTTGTCATAACTATGAGGTCTACAGGGAGAATTTATATGTCCCATTTGCATCTGTGGAGCACAGAACAATCACAGAGTAAAGGGTGAGAGAGGAACCTACTAGTGGCTTTGGTGGTGAAACGAAGAGGCCCCATGATAGGAGGCCAGGTCTCCCAGTGTCTGTCTGGCCAAGCATGTGGACACAAGTGTTCCCTGTGGACCAGGCGTGAATCTCGACAAGCTGGCATGGGGTCATCGTAGGTCCTGACCAAGAAGGTGGTCCAGGAGGCCATGGAGACCTAAGACCTGAGCAGAGAGAAGCCGGGGGACTCCTGGATTTCTAGGGAAATGACCAGCCAGAGAAGAGGTGCGTCCCCCCTGCGGAGGATGCAGGTGAGAGATCTCCCACAGCTCCCAAGAGCCACGTCATTGCCGTAACTTGTAGGTCTACAGAGAGAACTTATACATGTTCCCTTTGACTTACGTAAGTTATATAAGAACTTATATATGACTCTGAAGTGACTAGAAGGTCACTTCCTTTATTCTGGGCTCATGAGAAGAGTCAGCTCTAAGTATCTGCAAAACCAGAGATCACACATCCTAAACCTCTCTGCCCTCTGACCTCACCCTCACTGTACTTCCCCCGGACGGTGGGAACCTGACGAGCCTGAGGAAGGACAGAGAAGAGGGAAGCGCGCCTTCCTTGACTGCGGGCTCCAGCCCTACGAGGGGAGAAGCGACAGCAAACTCGAAATTTTTACTATTACGTAACGCTGCACATTTCCATGCTCGTCTGGAATCGTTGTTTATGACTCGACGTGACCTTAGGACTGTGTGCATTGCTCAAGAGTGACCAGCAACGACTGAGGATCCCCCTGGCCCTGGTGAGAGCTCGCAGACGCGCCCACGGAGGTGACTGAGGGGCAGAGAAGGACAGACATGAAGTGGTTTCTTGTTTCCTGCTCACACGCTCTGTGCTGCTCCTTCCACAGAACGTTTGTGACAATGACCGGAGTCTCCCCTCCGCTGCAGGGCCGAGGGCCAGATGTTGAGTTTTATTTCAAATTCGGTTTCGCTTTGATGATGCCCCGTGTAGATTCCCCTTCCTCCGAGGGACCTCGGCCGACCACCCCGGGTAGATGGTCTCCATCACCATCATGGACATTTGTCCTTTCTGCCACTGAGCTTTGGAA